CATGGTGGCTCATGCCTATAATCCCAGCACTTTGGGAGGCTGAGGTGGATGGATCACCTGAGGTCAGGAGTTTGAGACCAGCCTGGCCAACATGGCAAAACCCCATTGCTACTAAAAATACAAAAATTAGCTGGGTGTGGTGGCAGGCACCTGTAATCCTGCTACTCGGGAGGCTGAGGCAAGAAAATCACTTGAACCCGGGAGGCGGGGGTTGCAGTGAGCCGAGATTGCACCATTGCACTCCAGCCTGAGTGACAGGAGCGAAACTGTCTCAAAAAAAAAAAAAAAAAAAAAAAAAAAAAAAAAAAAAAAAAAAAAAAAAAAAAAAAAAAAAAAAAAAAAAAAAAAAAAAAAAGAAGAAGAAATAAACATTGCTCACATCCTGTGTTGTGTGATCCAAGCCCATTTAATTTGATATTGAGGGAATACATTGATGATGCCTGCTCCAGAGAGCCCCTCTGAGCTCTAGAGGTTTCAAAGGGGGATTCATTATCTCTCATAATGTCAATCCAAAGGTAGTCAACTTCAGAATGTGCCTGATCCGAGAGCTCAGTCTCCAGTCCAGCAGCAGTTCCAGCCTGAGGAACAAAGAACCAGGTGCCCCAGTCTCACTGGCCTGAATTGAACATGCTTGTGCTGAGTGAGTTCCTGCAGTGGGGGAAGGTCTGTATGGGTGCCTGAAGCAAGCATGGTGGCAAGGCTGGAGAATTACCCTTCATCTAGTAGGCTAACCTCTGGAGCAGAGGGGAGATGTAGCAGCTAACAGAGGTGCAAATGACAACACTACTGGTTGGCAGATGACAGCATCCTCCCCTGCCCCCTCCTGGACTAGCAGCCGCTCAGAGCTCACTTGAGAGCACCTGAGGCCTCTCCCTCACACAAACCTAGGTGGGAGCAGGCCTGGCACCATTCTCTAAAGTGGTGGCCTAGGAGTAGGCATTGCCTGGTAGAGTGGTGGCAAATGTCTATGTATCCCCGTCCCTTGTTTTGTGACTTTACACCTCCCATCAAGAGGCGAAGTGTATTTCCCCCAGCCCTTGCATCTGGTCTGGCGTAGGGTGCAGCAGAAGTGGCCGTGTGCCAGTTCTGAGTCTGGGCCTCAGGTGGCCTTGGAGCTCCCACTCGTTCTCTTGGAACCTCGCCCAGCTGGCCCTGTGCAAGCATGACTAGGGTGGCCTGCTGGGAGGAGACGCCATGTGGAGGCCAGTTATCTCAGAGGCCATCCTAGACCATCAGAGCCCAAAATGTGAGGACAGCCAGACAAGAACCTCCCCCGCCCCCGCTGGCTTGTAGATTCATGAGCAACAATAAATGTCTGTTGTTCAAAGTATCAAGCTTTGGGGTGGTTTGTTCCAGATCAATAGCTAACAGACACACCCTCAATAGCCCCGGGCCTTCACTGGAGACCCTTGCCTGCCCCTCCCTGCACAGGCTCTTTACAGTCAAGCTCCTCCCTCGAAGGGGGCCAGCCAGAGGGAACTATGGCCCAGCAGGTGTTGGGAATCCTTCTTGGAAGCTTTCCTGGCTGCACTGCCTGGGAGTGGACATTCTGAGTGCAGGCTCGTGAGAAGATCCCTGCTGACAGTGTTGAGACACACTTGGACAGGGGCTTTCTTTGGAGATAGTTAAGAACAGATTCAGTATCATCTGGTGTGAAGCCCAGGAACCTGCATTCAGCTGGTTTCCATGTGTGGGACTATAGGAGCACCAAGGTGCCAGTCTTTTCTCCAAGCTGTGGGCCTTCAGGGCCCAAGGGAAGCGCTGTTTGTGAAGGAGCAAGTTCAGTACAAGTGAGACTCGGAGAGGATTGAAGCTTTTGTTTTTGAGGTAGGGTCTCGATTTGTCACCCAGGCTGGTGTGCAGTGACATGATGATAGCGCATACAGCCTTAAACTCTCAGGCTCAAGTGATCCTCTTGCCTCATCCTCCCTAGTAGCTGGGACTACATGCACTTACCACCACACCAGGCTAATTTTTTGTTTTTTTGTAGAGATGAGGTCTCACTATGTTGCCCAGGCCGAAGGCAGCTTTTGGGCATGAAACTGGTATTTCTAGAGACTTTGTTTTTCAACATCCCATCTTCAACGTATTACAGTTACAAACAGAAAACTAACTTTTCCTTAGCCTGTGAAATGCAAATTACCAATCTTTTTTTCTAAATCAGATTTTTTTTTTTTTTTTTTTTAGAGAGGGGGTCTCTTTCTGTCACTCAGCCTGGAGTGCGATCGCAGCTCACTACAGCTATGACTTCAAGGGCTCAAGCAATCCTCCTGTCTCAGCCTCCTGAATAGCTGGGACGACAGGCACATGCCACCACACCTGGCTAGTGTGTGTGTGTGTGGAGATGGGGTTTTACCATGTTACCCAGGCTTGTCTATAAACTCCTCAGCTCAAGCAATCCTCTCACCTCAGCCTCCCAAAATGTTAGGATTACAGGCGAGAGCCACCACGTCTGGCCTAAATCTGATTTTTTTTTTTGAGACGGTGTCTTGCTCTTTTGCCAGGCTGGAGTGCAGTGGCATCATCTTAGCTCACTGCAACCTCCATCTCCCAGGTTCAAGCGATTCTCCTGCCTCAGCCTCCCGAGTAGCTGGGATTACAGTTTCCCGTCATATTTTTAGTAGAGACGGGGTTTCTCCATGTTGGTCAGGCTGGTCTCAAACTCCCAACCTCAGGTGATCCACCCGACTCAGCCTCCCAAAGTGCTAGAATTACAGGAGTGAGCCACTGTGCTGGCCAAATCTGATTATTTTTAACCACCATTTTGATTAGTCACATTTGGCCCCATTTATGAACTGAGATTTCCCTTAAACATTTTCAACTGCATTTATTTTTTTTTTTGAGACGGAGTTTCACTCATGTTACCCAGGCTGGAGTGCAATGGCGCGATCTCGGCTCACCGCAACCTCCGCCTCCTGGGTTCAGGCAATTCTCCTGCTTCAGCCTCCTGAGTAGCTGGGATTACAGGCATGCACCACCATGCCCAGCTAATTTTTTGTATTTTTAGTAGAGACGGTGTTTCACCATGTTGACCAGGATGGTCTCGATCTCTTGACCTCGTGATCCACCCGCCTCGGCCTCCCAAAGTGCTGGGATTACAGGCTTGAGCCACCGCGCCCGGCCTTCAACTGCATTTATACATGCAGAATCTAATTCTATTTTTCAGCATTTCGGTTGTCTGCTTTATCAAGTTCTCATAGATATATGAAATGTCTACATTTAAACTTTTAAGTTCTCTTTGTTCCAATTATAATCACAAACTTCAGAAAATTTTACACCTTTCAACCTACAATCACTATCAAAATTAAATACTTAGGGCAGGGGGTGATGGCTCACACCTGTAATCCCAACATTTTGGGAAGTCAAGGTGAGCAGATAGGTTGAGCCCAGGAGTTCAAGACAAGACTGAGTAACATGGTGAAAGGCTGTATCTACAAAAAAATACAAAAAAAATTAGCCGGGCATGGTGGCACGCACCTGTGGTCCCAGCTACTCAGGAGGCTAAGGTGGGCTGATCATCTAAACCTGGGGAGGCTGAGGCTGCAGTGAGGCATGATCGTGCCACCGCATGCCAGCCTGGGTGACAGAGTGACACCTCATCTCAAAAAAAAAAAAAAAAAAAAGATATTTTACATGGGAATTAGATTTATCCATCAGATACTCTGCCATGCCAAATTTCCTTACAATTACAAAAAGTAGCAAACACATACTGTTTGTAAACTCAACACAAAAACGTTAATGCTCTGGTTTCTATCTGCCTTGTCGTTCCAATATTTGACTCAATTTTCGAGGTTAGACATTCACTGTAAGGTGGCCAGGTGAGGTGGCTCACACTTGCAATCCCAGCACTTTAGGAGGCCGAGGAGGGTGTATCACCTGAGGTCAGGAGTTCGAGACCAGCCTGGCCAACCTGGTGGAACCGCCGTCTCTACTGAAATTACAAAAAAAAAAAAAAAAAAAAATTAGCCGGACGCGATGGGCGACTGCAATCCCAGCTACTTGGGAGGCTGAGGCAGGTGAATCGCGTGAACCCGGGAGGCGGAGATTGCCATGAGCCGAGATCACGCCACAGCACACTAGCCTGGGCAAGAGGGAAACTCCGTCTCAAAACAAAAACAAAAACCAGAAATTTACTGTAAGGAAACAATGCAACCCAAGGCATTTGGGGTGACCTTTGCGTCCCCTGAGGATGCCGAGGGACCAGAGATGCCGGCCCTGGACTAAGGTCTGGGTATTCTCAGGCAGCAGGGATAATGTGGGCTATTTTCCTGGCTGCAAAAGCCATGTCCAAGTCCAGCTCAGGACAGAGCTCAAGAAACGCACCAGCCACTCTCCAGTCCGACCGGGGCCTGCATGCACCTGCGCCGTGCGCCCCGAGTCCACGCTCCGATAACTCTTCCTCGGTTAGGCATAAGTCTCCACCAGGGTCCTCGCAGAGGCGGGGACCCGCACGCCGGCCCAGGGTTTGGCACGCCGAGGGGCTGAAACAGAACCAGGCTGGTTTCCACCCATCGTCAGAGCCCCCAGGCCCAGCACCCTTCCTCACAAAGGCCTCGTTAGAAGGCGAGGATACGAGAGCTGGGAGACCGGCGCGGAACGGCTTCGGTGCGCACGGCCAGCTCCGCGCCTCCGCCAGCTGCGTCAAGCCAGGGACACGGCGGCTGGTGTGCAGCTGGAAACCCAGAAATGGGCCGCTCGGGATTCGCTCGACTCCGGAGGCCGCTGGCGGGCCGGCTCCGGCGGCATAGGAGCGGTCAGCGGCTGCCGAGGACAGGTGCCCGGGCCGCCCTGACGCCACGACTACCTAAAGGCCGCACAGGAGGGGCCTTGCCGGCGCCTTCTCTTGTCGGAAGGTGCGCGTTCGGACGCACCATTGTGGGCGGGGCCGGAAAGAGGCGCGCTTTAAAGTAGTAACAGATGGTTTTCTTATCCAATAGGATTAAAAAATGCCTCCCTACCCGGCCGACCGCGGAAGTAGAGGCGGCGGGCTGCCAATGGGGACCTCAGGGGGGCGGAGCCGATGCCTCCGAAGCGGAAGTGGGTCGCTGATGAGGCGGCGGCATCTTGCTTGAGGGGCTCTCCTCGGCGGCCGGAGAAGGAGCTTCCTCTCTGGAGTGTGACGGCGGCGGCGCCTGCGGACCTAACCAGCTACAGGTTAGGCCGGGCTTTGCGGGAAGGCAACGGAAGGTCGGAGCCCGTGCAGTTGCGAGGTGTGGACGGCTTCGCGGCCTACACAGGCCTGGGCGCCCGCTTTTTAGGAAGCCGCCTTGTGCGGCACGGCCCGGGCGAGGTCCCGCAGTCCGGGACCTCGAGCCAGCTCTGGCCGCTCGCACCGCGGTCCGTACGGGCGCGCGGAGCCCGGCTTGGCGCGGGAAACGGAAGTTGGGAGGCCTGCGTCTGGGTCTCGGCTCACCCCGGCGGGCCGCGGCCGTGGGGCTTAGTCCATACCTAGGAAGGGAAACTGAGGCTCGGGGGGGCGGGAACGCCCCCAAGGTCACTCGGAGAGTCGAGCGGGGTGTGCCGTTGGGAGACGACCTGGACAGGGTTTTTGTTCCCTGCTGAGGACGCCGCCTTTGTGTGTTCGCGCCGCAGCCCCGCCATCCCGGGGCCTGCAAGTTCGCCGGGGTGCCGGGGCCGCGTGGCGGGGCCTTTTGTCGGTCGGGGGTGTGAGGACGCAGCGGGCCTGACGGTGGGGGCGCCGAGCTCGCAGTCTCAAACTTAGTAGGGCCTCGACTTCCGGGTGCGCTTCCGGGCCCCGGCGGGTGGTTGGAAGAACGTGTGACTGTGAGGCTTGCGGCCCAGCCCTGCACCGCCCGGGCCCTTCGCTGCCCCGGCGCGCCTGTAGACAGGTGCATGAGGATTGTGGCGACCGGAAACACAGTTGCTAGTAAACACCGCTTTTCCACGGCTGATCCATCGAGGGAGGAGGGAAAAGGATAGAGCTTGGGCGAGCTGTTTTTGTAGGGATTTCAGCTTTTGTCTTTTACTTGTCGGTTGCTACGGACGTTCACAGTCTTAGTACCCTTCGTCCTGTTTCTGCACCAAGTTCTTGAGCCAGACCTAGGGTCTCAGCTCTGGAGCCTGCCTTAGACTGTCCAACTGGTTGGGGAGACCGAGGTCTAGAAAAGTGAGGTGGTCTGCCCAAGGTCACGCAGCTGTTTGGCAGCCGATGAGGTTAGGTCCTAACTGCGGGATTAGGCTTTTGAATTCAGTGACCAGGAGTTTTGGGACTGCTGACAATAAAAGGCAGAGACATTGAAGGGAATCTTTTGTTACTTTCTTGGTGATTTGCTTTTTAATGGACAAGGACACATTGAGTTCAGCTTTACCTGTGAGTTTGGGGTGAAATAGGAACATTCGAGTAGAAAGATGTATTGCTGGCTTTTGTATTGCCTGAATTTGAGTTTCCAGATATCTTTAATACATTGTATATTGATCTTTTCTTAAATTACTACCTTTGTAAGCAGCTTTTGTGGGCACTGTTTTTCTAATCTTCTCCATGAAATCTTAATGCCACACGTAAACTATCGCTTTTTTTTTTTTTTTTTTTTGGAGTTTCGCTCTTGTTACCCAGTCTTGAGTGCAATGGCGCGATCTCGGCTCACCGCAACCTCCGCCTCCTGGGTTCAGGCAATTCTCCTGCCTCAGCCTCCTGAGTCGCTGGGATTACAGGCATGTACCACCATGCCCAGCTAATTTTTTGTATTTTTAGTAGAGACGGGGTTTCACCATGTTGACCAGGATGGTCTCGATCTCTT